TGGTAATCTCTGTAAATGGATTAATGTATTCTAGAGATCTATTTCCCTGCTGGGTGAAAATCGATAGAGAATAGATTTGGTTAGTGTTCATCTATTGTGAGTTAAAATCAGTTAGGAATATCATGCCCAGGAAGAAGGAAAACAACTTTGATACTGTAAGTCTGTAGTGTTCAGTTTTTGTATTTGTGTTTACTTTTAAGCTGTGGCTGAAATTGAAGAATTTCAGGTATTCACACCCTGGATCTATGTGTGTGTGTGTGTGTGTGTGTGTGTGTGTGTGTGACTCAGAAAGTCCACTACCCCTCATTGTTACTGTAGGAGGTTTTCTTATCTCCAGAAAGCATTATTAAATTAGAGCATAAAGGCCTTTAAAGGAGCTCTGTTTTGACTGGCTTATAGAGATAAATAAGGACATATAGTAAATTAAATATTCTTCAAATTATCAGAAAATTAAACTTGTAATTCTTTGAGCTCTCCCTGCCTCCTGCAATTAGAAATTCTCAGTGAATCTCCTTGCTTTTCATGGCAACAGAGTAATCTGCATAGTTCCAATAAGGATCTGTTCCCCTTTTACAAAGATATAAATGGAAAAATCACTTATGCAACCAAGGCCTTGCATGGAATATTTGAGAATGGTGTTTATTTAATCATAATGATGAGTCACTTATAAAGGACTGAGGTTGACTTTCTGGTGCCAGTGTTTACAAAGTCCTCCCAGAAAAACTAGTGTGGTACACGAATAGGATTTCCATCGTGGTAAGGAAGGCCACATCCTGCAAGCCCAAGAAGCTTGGGATATTTGAAGCAGCTCTAAATAGAAGAAAAGACCCAAATTTTAGGTCTTTCAGTTGGAATCTGGAAAACAAAATTTCTTGGCCTTGACTTACCAACCTTAGGATAGCAAATAATAAATGATTTTAGAAGTTCAGTCTGAGATTTCTTATGAAAGCTTTCAGCAAAATAAGCTTTAGGTGTCCTAAACAGTAAATTAACATTCTTGCTATCTCAGTGCACACAACCCAGCCAAACCTAACGAGACCAGCCTTATTTTGTGAATAATTTTGAGATAATTTGAAAGAAAGAAGTAAAGATGATAAACAAATTTTCTTTTTAAGTCTTGAAATAATCAAGAGAGATACTGGATGTACAACTATAATGAGATATCACAATGTACAACTATAATGCACCAATAAAAAATGTGAAGAAAAATACTATTATTAAAAAAAAGAAAAATACTGAATACATTTCAATGAAATGCTCATATCTCTAGCAACTGTCTGAACTTTGGTATTGACTAGGCTATTTTACAACTCTGTAGATACTAAGGTTAATTTGAAAAACAAACAAACAAACAAAAAGTGAACAATAATGCAAATAAATCTTATCTACATTCATGAAAATAAAAATCTTTGGTGAAGGTTTCTCTCTCACAGAAAAGCCAATTTTGCATCTATATGCAAATTTATTTCAATATTCTTGATCTACAAATGTGTCTGTTCTTTGAATTCTCCTTTGAACCAATTGTGACTTCTTACAGATTTCCTCTTTTAATTGATAAGTTAAATAAAATCTCTGATATGTGTTTATTTTTATTTGAATGGGAGTTATGATTTTACTTATCATCAAAAATTGTCCTTTAACACCATTGCTTTATTAAATCCTCATAACATTCTCATTTTCCTGTTGAATAGATTAGGAATTGGAGGTTGGTTTTTTTTTTGTTATTCATTCAGCTAGTATTTCTTTCTCCAGAGCCTGTTACATGTCAGGGACTGATTGAGGACTGGGGAATGCAGTGGTGAGCCACAGAGACTGCATAGATTCCAGCAGCAGAGAAGACATTAAATGAATTCACAAATACATGATTATAAAATGTGATAATCTATGAAAATTAAAAACAATTGATTGCAGAAGTGGCTTTTTATAGGTCAAGGTTAGGCATTCATTTTCATCTTGGAATGTGATTGGCCTGATAAGGGGCAGCAAGAAGACCCAAGTGGCTGGACCTGGAGAGAGCCGGACCAGTGGAGAATAGAGACACAGGTG